TATTCTAAAGGAAGCAGCGCTCAGGAAAGCTTGCATTTGAGTTCTGCTTTTGATCCAGGAGCAGAGATTAAGTATTACTGAGATAAAAATGAATTATATTGAACTCTAAAATAATGGGTGTATTAAGATTTTCAAACTATTAGGAATTTAAAAAAAAATGAAAACACCACGATTGTAGTATGTGTTTTAAGCAAGATACGTGTTTACTTGAAAATGTTAGTATTTATTTTAATGAGCCAGTATGATATACTGATTTAAGACATCAAGCTTGAAATTGTGAGCTCTAATCTTTCTTTGGTCACAAAGTCAGCTGGCTGACCTTGGGGCTGTCACTCACTCTCAGCCTTATATAGGAAGCAATGGTAAATAACTTCTGAAAGTCCAAGCAGTCATCAGGAGTCAAAAACTGACTCAAAGTAGTAATCCAAAGTTTTAAATAACAAATCATGGCTTGCTAATTTTTATCCCTAATTTCTTTAATTATTCCTTTGGTCTTTTTTATACTTTTGTAATATGTTCAGCCCAAATCTTAATAAATTATTGCTGGGGGGGGGGGGGAATTAAAATTTAAGCAGGAAGTTATGTGACTAGATATTGCTTGCTCCCATCTCTGGTATTATGCAAATACTGTAGGTTCCAGAAAAGTTCCCAGCCTTAAAGATGCATTGGGTGATAACAAATTTATGAATCTATCTAGAAGAATAATGGAACATTAAATTAAAGTTGACCTTACCATGCTAAAGCTGACATCACATGTAAATATAATTGTGTATCCAACCAAACTCGCTGGAATTCACAGTGTAAATATTATTAAATACATTAATAATGCACAGCCATTTATCTTTGGTTTATCCTTCATCACCCTATAATTGAGCAGGAACATTTTGAAATTCCATTATTTGCTTTAAACAAGTGAGAAAATTATCTACTAATCTATTTACATTTATCTTATTTTATGCTATTTTTCCTCTGTTTAATATTATAAATGAATACAGATTTTATGGTTTAGGAACAAAAGCATTTTTCCTGAACCCTTGAATAAGAATGGTTTTCAGTTGCTCTTTGGAGTAAATGAATGCCTTTTGTATGAGTCTTTTTTGAATGAAATACAACTCTTTTTTGTAACTATCTGAAAATAATGAAAACTACAAGATAAAGCTCTAAGATAAATTTTAATACAAATCAGATAAAACTCACTCAACCAAATAATGGTATTATTTTGGTAAGAGACAATAATTTAGTAAGAAAATTTTAGAAATTCTGCTGCAATTACCATATGACCTGATGGAAATATAATGAAATGAGAAATTTTTCTATGTACTTTCTAGGTAAAAATATAACTTTATTGACAAGCAATCCTCTTTATGTCTTGGCAGAAACAATTAAACAATAATCATGAGCTACACTAAATCCTATTGTAAAGGGTTTGGACTTATTCTCACTTGCTGCAGATGGTAACAGAAGAACTAATGGAATGATACTTCAAGGATTAGGATATAGACTAGATCAGGGGTAGTCAACCTTGGCTCTTTTATGACTCGTGGACTTCAACTCCCAGAATTCCTGAGCCAGCTATACTGGCTCAGGAATTCTGGGAGTTGAAGTCCACGAGTCATAAAAGAGCCAAGGTTGACTACCCCTGGACTAGATATTAGAAAAAAAAATTATTGACAGTAATAAATTCCCATATGAAGTGGTTTGTTCCCCTTCACTGGAGATTTTTAGAATTTTCATTGTTATGCATCAGGAATGGTGCAATGAATCCTGGAGTATACCAGGGGTTGGATTTGATGACCTTTTAGGTCTTTTCCAATCCAATGATTCTATGTAAAAACAACCATATTATTATAGATGATGATCTTCCAGTGTTAGGCAATGCATGTGCCTAAGTTAATAAGAGTCAATAATCAGTGTGAATATTTAAATAACTCCATTTTTAAAAAAAAATCAAGTTTTACATGAAAGTTTATATTTCAGTTCTATTATTAATACTGTCGAAAATAACTGTACACTGAAATCAAAGATCACAGAGTAAACTGATTTTTAAATGGTATTCAGGTTTTTTTCCTTAAAATTAAAAATCTGTGAAGTCCATTTTGTAAAGTGATCTAAATAAAACAGAGCTATATCACCATTATAAATGACTATATTTATTACATTACGATGTATATTATTTTAAAATAATATATTGAAGCAAACACAGAAATAAATATATGCAAACTTGAAATTTATGTCTTTCTACTTTGAAACTGCATGGTAATATCAGATATCTTTTCTGTCTGGGATTTTACTATAGACTTTCCATACAAATGTTCAATTTATTTGGTACATTCCCACCAGGCAGCAAAATATCTATTTTCTTTGTGCAAAACCAAGGAAAGGTTCATTGTTATCATGAGAGTTTGATGCTCAGATATCTTTAGTAGTCCGGGAATGTCTTTCCACTGTTTTGTTTTATCTCTTACCGATATTATAAAAGTATCAGAGCAGTAGAGAATTTTTCAACCTGATGTTCTTTGGATGTGTTGGACTTCAACTTTCATGAACTCTCAGTCTTTGGGCCACTAAGTTTGGAAATAATGAATTGGAGAATGTGTTGCATTTGGGCAAGGCCTGTATATTCTTATCATACTAGCTGGAGCCAATCTTTAGAATAACTCTTTGTCTCCACTCATTTGGCCACTGGGGAGCATTCTGCAGTTCATGGACTGTTTCAAGAAACATGCTGGCAGCCATCTGTTAATATTGTATGTTGAATAAATGAAGTTCAGAGTTGTCACTGAAAAGTAGAAATGAGAAGGCAGTGATAAGTAACATTTTCCTTTCACAAGAAGAAATTAGTCATATCATTTATAGAGATTAAGGCATAATGAATGTAACTCTAGAAGTTCTTATAAGGCATGGGTCAAAAGATTACAGTAAGAATACACTGAACAGATTTTTACCTTCTTTTGGACTATAATTGCCTCTGATTCTTAAGTAGTTGCACAAAAATATCTATAATTTAATTCCTTAGCTAAGAATCTATTGATAATATCCTTATTTAGTAAAACAAAGGGAATTTGATATAAGAAGAATTATTATTAGGACTACAGTTTCTGGACCTTAGAAATACCACTAGATGGTAGCAAGCAGATACAGAAAATTTACAATTTTTCATCTCTGTGGTTTTGGGGAGCTTTGCAGTCCAGGCTCAAATATTATGTTGCCTCTTCAAAGAATATACAGTTATGTGAGCTAGCTATAAAAATAATACACCTGTCATCCTCTAGATGAGAATAAGGGAAATATTTTAATCAAATATACAAATGAAAAGCTTTGAAAAGGGAAGGGACATGAAGCTGCCAGATTAATTCACTGTCAAACCCAAGATTTTAAGAAAAAGACTGCAAAAAGTCCTATTTATCTAATATATATAGAAAATTATATATGGTTTACTTCACCCATTGTAATACATACGTACATACATGCACACACACATACGCGCGCACACACACACAGAGAGAGAGAGAGAGAGGGAGAGAGAGAGAGAGAGAGAGAGAGAGAGAGAGAAGAGAGAGAGAGAGAGAGAGGAGGGAGGGAGGAAATACATTTATGAAACCATTTACATACAAATTTTTTGAGCACTTGATACAAACAGAGAAAATAGATAATGGAAAAACCCCACATTTATATTAAAATACATGTGCACATTGGTACCAAATTAAATATATAATAGATAAGTCCAGACAAAGCATTAATTCCTAATCAAGATCTTGCTAACAAAAATGCAAACTACTGTATTTTTCCATGTATTAAGACGCTATTTTTTCCTGCAAACACCCTGTTCAAAAATCAGATGTGTCTTATACAAGTGCAGTGTCTTATACGCAAAAAAATAATGGTAACCTCCACAGCCTAGGGCATGCCTGTGTGGGTTCTTTACATGCCGCTGCCATGCTGCCTAGTCCAGATGTCAAGCCCCTGTGGGCTGGCCACTAACGGGGGGGGAAGGGGGCAAGATTGTCGGCCAGCTGAACTTCTGGATTTGCCGGCTCAGCTGTTCGGCGCTCCGCCAAACAAATGATCAGCGCACAGAAATGGTGGGGAGTTTAAAACCTGCCTTTGCTTCCCTTGCCTTGCTGTCATGCCGGTGCTCACGCCGGTTTGTTTACCAGGGTCGGAAGGCTGCTGCTGTGAACTGACTATGCATGCTCATCGTGCCAGATGCTGGTTAGGTGGGTGGGGGGTGGGGCCAGCCAGGAGGCATCTATTTAGAGCGCTGTGAGGCGGTTGCTCCCAGCGCTGACTTTGTTTGCTGTAAGCTTGCAACTCGCATGCCAGAGCGTCTTATATAAAAGTGTGTCTTATAGATGGAAACATACGGTAAATAATATCTTGCTTGACCTGCTGTTGGCTTCCTGACCACCAGCTTCTTTGTTGCGTATCCAGGTATTAGTTAAAATTTGTTGCATTGTTCAAGGACTGGGAAGATACCATAATGCTATTAGAAGGCTATATACAAATAAGGTGAGAATACAAAATCTCTTTTTTACTTTGAATTTGTTAATGGCTCTTGGCACATCTCTTGCTTATGAAGAAGGCATGGGAAAGGTTAACATTTTCCTCCAGGCCTTTTGAATAAGCATTTTTTTCTGCTATGGTGAGTCATTCATGTAGCAAACTTTACAAGTAAGAAAGCAGAAGAACATGTACTGGTGACTAACACCTCAAATCCTAATACATTTTCAATGATAGAGCATTTTAACAGAATTATTTAAAAATGATAAGGAGGCTAACAAGGAAAGAAAACATTGCATAGCAGGTTTTTACATAATAAGCAGTAAATTGAAAATGGTTTCAGAAGGTATTCAAGAATAGAATGTTTTAAGTCCATTTTAAAAAAAAAATACCATTTCAGATCATCTATCAAGAAGTCTCTCTAAGTGTTTTTTTGTTATAATTTGCTTTCTTGAAACCATATTTAATTATCTTTATCCAATCCAATTCTATATTTTCAGAGCTCTCAGCACAGTGGTTCCTCTACCTCACTAGCCTCTACCAAAGTCTGCAGTTCGATGGATGAAACCGATGGGCCTGGTGAAGGTAATATAAGTAGATAAAATGTCTCTCTGTTTAAAAGGTGATAATACAAAGGTCTCTGTGATTTATTGCCTCTAAAAGTTAAAGAAAGATTATTGATATTAGGGCAGAATTGATGTTTTGTATTAAACTGTCTTTAGCATCCATGTGTTACTGAATAATCAGATACTTTCATAGCCATTTTCCATTTTTCCCATAGTCAAAATATTCCTACTGTATATTATATCCTAAGTATGAGAATACATGTCCTTGACAAAAAAAAAATTTGTTTGGTTAATTTTCTAGTTCAGGTTGTTTATAGAGGTTTTAATTGCTATGGTTTGAAAGTTAATTAGTAATTGCCTAAACCTTTTGTATACATGCCACAAATATGAAGGAGTATATCATAATTTCATGTGAACTGAACTGAATTATTGTGAATGTTAGTCTGCAGCCTAGTTTGGATTATTCATTGACTGCAAACATCAACAATCCTCATTCATAGTTCAGGCATGATTCTTGTTCATCCACAAATCAATAGATACTGTAGCCCAGAAAGGGAGAGAAATTTTCTAGGGAGAGAAGAATTGATTCTTTTGAAAAGGTAGAAGCAGAACTAGAAATGGAAACTTTGGGAGAAGCTATTGGTTGGAATTGGGAAAAGAGGGTCAATGTTATTTTGTAGTGGTTCAGATTAAGGCTGGAATTTCTAGCAAAAAGGGATTTCCAACTAAATGAAAGGAAGTTTAAGTTTAAGAAAAATGGCTATTTCTTTAGAAATAAGTAAATATATTCTGTCCAGGATTTGCATTTAACCTTTCTTTTTTTCTGTGCTGCTAAGTCATTTTTATTTGCTAGTGAATTCTATATAATTTCAGGCTTCTTCCAGTGTTTAAGGTGAGCATGAGTATATTATTGCTATTTATAATTTTCTTATGATGTATAAGTCAAACTCCAGAGAAAAATCTATTTTGAGATTCTGCCAGAGAAATTCTTATTTGTAGCAGATCATTAACATCATATGATCAGCTATGAACATTTCTTTTTCAGTCCTTGTGGATTTTCTGTTTAGTTGCTGACTCTGGCTCAAGCAATTATTACTTCTTTTCTACACACTAAAGAAATGTAGACATGTATGCATTTGAGATTTAAAATTTTTAAAAAGATGTCTATATTATTTATTTACCAATTGGGCTTATGTACCACTTCAGTTGAAACTTACTTTCAGCGGTGTACACATCCTGTTTCTATAAATAAAGTTAAAGTGGGTCCTAGCAATGATTAATTCTTCTTTGAGTGAGTTATTCCTTTGCCTCTTAAAGAGACCTTGGTTCACCTCTTTATAGGTTCTGAAGAAGCTATTGTTGGACACCACAATTTTCATTCAGCATCTAGCTTCCCCTTTTGGGAGAAAGGTGATTGAAAAGGTGATTGCGGAGCTTCAGAGGCACTTGGAAGAAGTGGATTATCTGGATCTCTTTTAGTTGGGATTCAGTCCTGAGTATAAAATGGAAATGGCATTGACCACACTTTTGGATGATCTCTGTTGAGGGTGGGACAAGAGCTTGTGCATCCATCCTTGCCCTTCTTGGCCTCTCTGTGGCTTTCAATTCCTTCGACCACAGTATATTTCTAGATCAGTTCAGAGATTTGGGCGGGCCACATAGTGTTGTGTTGGTTTATGTGGGTGCCACAGAGTTCGGTACTCTTCCCCTTACTATTTAACACCTATATAAAACTACTCAGCTCATCCATTGCCATGCAGTGAGATATCATCAGTATGCTGATAATAGTCAATTCTGTATCTCTGTCTCAGCAAATTAGGCAAAGCCATGAACTTCTTATCTCATTGCCTGCAGGCTGTGAGGGTCTGGAAAACCAGCCTTTAGCTGAACCCTGGCAAGACTGAGTGATTTTGGGTTTGGGGGCCTGCCAATTCTAGGACTAGGCCATTTTTTGTTCTGGATGGGTCGCACTGCCCTAAACAGATCCAGCAGGCAAATTAGGATCCCTCCTGGACTCACAGCTCCTACTCAATAAGCAGGTGGCACGTGATAGTTTTTGTTTTTATAATTACATTAGAATTTGATCATTTTTTGGTCTATCTCCCAAAGAAGGGCTGAAATATTCTATATATACTAAATAGGCTATGCTACATAGCAGAAAGCTGTAGAGTGTGGTTGCGCAGCAGTTCCCTCGACACTTGGATGAAGCAGTCTATCTAGACCCATACCAGTCGGGCTTCAGGCCGGGACACAGCACGGAAACGGCATTGGTCACGTTGGTTAATGATCTCTGGAGGGCCCGGGACAGGGGTTATTCCTCTGTCCTTGTTCTTTTGGACCTCTCAGCGGCTTTTGATACTGTGGA